AAAAACGGCAGAACGAACACGATGGTTACCCTGTCTAGGCCTATCTCTCGAGGCCAGGCCCCGCCTGGGCCGCAACTCCTTCCTCTTCATGCGCTCGCGCAACTCCTCTGCCTGCGATCAAAACATAATCGAATCGGTATTTATGTCGGCAGGTTTTCACATGTTCAACAATGCAGGGTTGTTGGATCCTCATTCTAGTCACACATAACGGCCAGCTGCATCGCCACTGTACAAATCAACATTCTGAAGCCTGCAATAGTATATTGGCTTGACAGGAACGGAATACCCAACACAAACGGAAACTCTATACTATAGTATAAGCGCAAACATATATGATTCCCAAGGCCATTCTCAGAAATTGCCCTAGCAAGATCTACAGAAAGAACGCTAGTATGGTGCGACAAAGACATGTCGCACTAGCTGGCTGGATGATAAGTTTGTACATGTTTGTACATTGTCATGTACCATCTGAAAGAAGCCCAGACTTCTCACTCTGTTTGTCCCTTTCTCCGAACAAAAACAGAAGGCCATTTTCCAAGCGATGTGGAAAGCACATAACACACAAGTCACATGGCAGTCGGTTACACTATATAAGTATAATATTGAACAAACACATGGAATCTCCGCTGAACAAACATGTTCCGTATGTGCCTCCCAATGCTCAAGGAGCCGCGCATCAAGACCGTCGAGTCTTGGAGGACAAATTCACAGCGAGAGGTCAAGCAGAACATGTCTTGCAACGCGCAATTTCTGCCTTTCGGCTGGCTTTATACAGATATGAAAAGGTAGGAATGATCGGTGGCCGGGCATTTCTTAGCACGTTCAATGGCATGTGTTTTCTGCTTGTGGCTGCTGGTGGATTTGAAGCAACTTGAGCGGAGTCTACTCCAACAAATCTCCCCTGATAAACCTGGAAACTCAGGAAGGACGCTACTAGTAGCGATGCCCTTTGTTACTAGTAGCGTCTTTGTTACTACGTGTCCAGCTGGGGATGCCCAAAGATTTGCTTGCCCTAGGCCCTAGGCCCTAGATGGCCCTAGATGACCGTAGGATTCTTGGTCCAGCACCACGGAACAAGCATTGTTTCACGGATTCTACACAACAAAACCAGGTCAACCATTGTTTTAATGGTCTTGGAAGGTTAGGGCGTGCTTTTTCTTTTTGGGAGGTTGGTCTTCGAATCGGTGTGTCCCCAACTGGTGAACTGGGTGGTTCTGTATGGCAAGTTTCCGGGTGGCCCGGTGGTTCTTGATGCTTGGAATGCCCAAAACCGAATTCCTCGTTGGCCACGAGGACATCTGCTTTCAATAGATGCACCTCCCAGAGACCACAGTGAAAAGAGATCTGGGAGGTACAAGTGGTGCAGGATTTCTTGCCTTACCAGGACTCACATGCAGCTGGATGGCTCTAAAATTTACATGACCCGGGTTGCCGGTACCGAACAGCTTCCTGGAGAGGTGAAAAGTACAGTACCTTAAGCGGTGCCTTTCGGTGCCTTGAAACGTTGGAGAAAAAGACACCTCAACACACAGCTGTGTGTTTCTAGCTGATATGTGATATGGGTGTGTATGGTGTGCATGTTATAATCAGGAGACACCTGGCCCAATGGGTTTTGGTTTGTTTTGGTCTATTTCCCGAACCTTCCGGTTCAGCTCTTTCAGGCATCTCTGAATTCCTTTGAACAACATGTACCACAGGCCGGACCGTCTTGGCCACGTCTGAGTCAACAGCTAAGGCCGAAGAGTCATCAACTGGGTCTTCGGACGCAAAGCCTGCCTTTCCCACGTCCAAGCATGCCTGGATTTTCGATCACCAAAAACACCAAACACCAAACTGATGTTACATGGTCAACATTGAAGAATCAAATATGTTTTAGTACTACTCTGATGATGTTCTGGGTGCACATTGCTGGAACATGCTGGAACAATGGACCAACCAGTTGGAATGCCGCTTCTGGCTGGTGGTCTCAGTGGTCTCCACAAGAAAGGTCCTAAACGCTTCTTCCAAAGCACCACCTACGGTAGGACAACCCAAAGCTGCAAAGCTGAACATCTTCACGACAAGACGAACACGAGCCGTCACAAGAACAACATTGCCGTGTATCTTGCACTTACTTTCTTTCCTTCTGCATAAGCTGTCTATATATATATATAAATGTATAAGAACTTTGTTAGGACATTTGTAACAAAAATACAAAACACACGGCATAAATAATGACCTCCGATCCCAAATTTGATGCACTTGGACCTTCCGACCTCTCCCATCGCTGGGCATCCACACACGTTGACATGCCTCCATGGCTGCCTGCACACGTGGATCAATCGGTCCGAACTCTTGGGCTGGGCAGTTTTTCGCATTCTGTAGGATGGCTCTGTACGGGCTCGTTTTCCTCCCCATGTTTTTCTCGCCAGTTCAGAGTGGTTCTCTTCTTTCGTGCCCAGCTCAGAGGGCCGCCGGCGCGACGGGGAACCGCAGTGGAAAAGGTCGGAAAGCGAGGGAAAGTGCTTGGTGACGTCTGCATGAACATCACCGAGATCCAGTGACAGGTTGTACACAACTTCGTAAATTCATAGATCTCCCGAAATCGCATGTTAACATGGTATCACCTACGTCACAGATCTCCCGAAAGTGGGATCATTCTTCCCCACGGGGTCGAAAAACGATCTTGAGACTTGAAAATAGAAAAGCGGAATAGAAGCCTCAAGCAGCTTGCGCCTGTTGGACTTGCTTCTTCGGGCATTTGCTTTTTGGAGTAGTCCCTATAGTGAGATTTGGGGGAGCCTCCTAGGGTAGGAAACCCACAGAACAACTCATCTTCCAATCTTCCTAAAAGCAAATCCAACTGGTCACGGAATTGAAAACCTTTTGAGCACATGGCACATGAATGCACAACTATTCTTTCTCCGAAACACGGGGCATCAGTGGACACCGAAGCTTCGCCAAAAGCGTTGCCACGCACCCACGTCACCTGGCTATGTGCGCTTTCGGCGGACGGGTGTGATGAGTGACCTCCCCAACTTCTGCGAGGGACGGGAGTGGAAACTACAAACATGAGCCAAACCGTCTACGGATCGGTCTGAGAAACGAATGGTTCAAGTTGTTGCTTCATGTTTTTTAACTTTTTTCAGGTCTGAAACAGTGGTAGTCTATCCCATCGGACTCGAAGGTTCTCTGATCAGTTGGGTTGAATATGGTTGAATAAAAGACACCAAAGAAACCTTCAGTCCTGAATCCTGGAGATTAAAATTACTTAACTTCGAGCGATCCGCACCATGACATTTCAATCATTTGTCTTGATGCCATAGTGAGGAGCATGTTGCCATGGTCGTGAGTATTGTAGTTCTCGATTTTGCTTGTGGGTCCTCGAGTTGTGTGCTGTGGTTGTGTGTTGTGGTTGTGGTTGTGTGCTGTGTTGTGGTTGTGGTTGTGTTGGTGATTGTGTGTTTGTGGCTGTGTGTTTGTGGTTATGTTTGTGGTTGCGTGTTAAGAACTTGCGGATCTCGACTAGTCCTTCTCTGAATTCGTGAGTCTCGGAAATCTCTTCAGACGAGTGTGGACCCCGCCATGGATGCGATGGATGTGAATGTGCGGCATCCGGATCCACTCTGTGTGCCAAGCAACCTCTCTCGTCTCTGATGTGCTTCTTCAGAACCTCCGGATGTTCTTCTACCAATGCCAACAAGCCGTTCAGCAGTTGGACATACCTTGGGCATTTGGATTGAAGAACTGCGATCTCGGTGTGTCAGCAGCTATAGGCTGTATATTACATTGCAGTATAATTACAGAGTTCTTTTTTGTCTTGCTTTATCCGTCTCAGAAGGACATGGCTAGTGCGTACCGAACATTCAAGGCCTGTCATCTCATCCCATGTTGGTCTTAAACTTTTCTGGGTGGCAGTGCACATGACCAAGTCCACAAGCCAAACTGCTTGCCTCGACTCCTTCCGAGTTTGGGAGTGGAACATCATGAAGGCTAAGTAAGCATGCAAGACACAAAGCTATCAGTAACAAGTGCATCACTATATATTAATTAGTAGTAAGAAGCTCCTGGTAGCAAGGTGCATCGCGACTAGTAACCAGGTGCATTACTATTAACAACAAGCATTCCAACAAGAAGCTACTAGGAACAAGAAGCTAGTAAGTTAAAGGTCATCGCTAGTAGAATGGAGGCCATTACTACTAGTAGCTAGTAGAAGCCAGTAGTAGCAAGCTGCCTTATACTAGTAGCTTCTTGTTACTAGTAGTAAGGCCAAGAGCTACTAGTAGCGTTCTTGCTCCTAGTAGCGATGCCCTTTGCAACACAGAACGGACGTGACATTTCTCACTCACAGTTTGCCGCTTTGGGGATGGCATGCGACTGAGATCCGGTTGGTGGAGACCTTGCTGGACCCGTAACAGGGACTAACAGGGACCTCCCACAGTGAAAACAGAATTGGCTCGGGAAATGATATGAACTTCGTTTTCCCCAGTGGCTCAGGGTCGATGTGAAAGTCTTCCAGCCCCCTTTCAAAGCCGAAAGTGCATGGCATGCGAATGACCATTCGGTGCAACTGATAGTGCGTCCTGCCGGGTGGGATGACTGGATGTGGCTTCAACATCGCACTGACCCTTTCCAAACTGACCAACGGAAGCCAGGAAAGAATGCACCAGTTACAAAAATGTTCATCTGGGCAGGCTTGAGACTTGGTGCCTGAAACAAAATGTTGTTCTCAGTCTTCTTGAGGACGCGAAGTCTTTGCATTCCGTTTCGGATGGCTTCAATCAAGCCGAGTCAAGCGATTGATTTCGCCAAACACAGACTCTTTCGATTTGCCATGCCCGCTTCACAAACGGACAAAGTATCTTCAAAGTCCTCTTCTGAATAGACCGTGTAAGAGCAGAACGAGTTCCGAAATGGCTGGGTGTCGGCGTCCACGAGTGGATGGTCTGGCAGTCCAGGCAAGGGGTCGTCTACCAGGTCAACGACGGGCTTCAACGAACTTTGGAGATCGGACAGTCTTCCTGAAGCGGCGCCAACCGAATTCATCGCGGCGTTCACGTGAGGTCCAAGGTATTGGCCGTGTGCTCCATAAACTAAGCCGAAATGGCCGGGGGATGAAGGTTGGGTGTCTCAGCTGACAACGCTTGGGTAACATGGTTGAAAAAGAACACCACTTTGCTGCGACAAAATCAACAAAAAAACACCTCGTTAAAATTAGCCATCAGTGACCAGCTCGCCCATTAATTCGGGAAAGACTGGTCTTTTGTGGAGATAGCTCGAAGTACGTATCCTCTACATCTAGACTCCCAAAAAGCTGCGTCGAACATATGCTATTAATGTTATACTAATATTATATACAGTCATCTGAATGCACCTTCGAAACATTCTCATCTATCATTCTGTTGTCATTTTGCGGTTCCAGCATAATTGAGCAATTGCAATCGTCCTCGCTGGTTGTTGCAGTTATGCTGCCCACTAACCTTGCATGTGCCGAAATTGCTAGTGACCATAATAATAGTGAATATATCAATATATATAATATAAATATATAGCTGCTCTTGTTCTTGGTTTGGCTTTGCTTGTGGCATTTCTTCTACAATGGTTGCTGTTTCTTGCTGCGCATTCCATGGAGTCACCTGGCAAAACAAATGTTCAAGTCCCTTGGCCTCTGGCTCCTCATCCAAGGGCAAGGAAATGAGATCTCCTTCAGCGATGGCAGGTTTGAGAACTGCATGCTTGGGAGGGGTCGCAGGACTGGACGAAACTATGACTGGAATGGACGAAACAAATCATTCCGTTCCCTACCACAGTTCATTCATGTTCGTTCTTGCGCACGGGTGTATCGGGTGTCGGTTGAGGTTAGCACAGTTCTAGAAGAGCGTCAGGATGACATCACGGTGCAGTCAATGAAAGGAACCCTAGCTGCTAGGCCTAGTGAGTTAATCGCTACAGTGGATCTGACCGAGAATCGCTTCAAAACGAAATCGAATAGATTGGGAAGGTGTCCGAGAACATAGCGATGGCCTCCAACCTACTAGGAATGGCCTCCAACTTACTAGCGATGGCCTCCAATCTACTAGGAATGGCCTCCAACCTAATTACTATATGTGATGGCCTCCAACCTACTAGTGGAGGTCCCGCTTGGGAAGTCGAATCATTCAATTCTTATTGTTACTAGTAGTAAGGCACTTGTTCCTAGTAGCTTCTTGTTACTACTAGTAAGGCACCTGTTACTACTAGCGTGGCACTTGTTACTGTCTCAACTGTGAGATGACGCAGATTCTGTGAAAGTCAGCTCCGCCTGCCTCGCCTGGGCCCACCGTTCTGCTTGAGCTATCGAACCGACTGCCATCGGCCTGGTGTGTTACCCATCGACCGGCGCTTGATACAATCCAAGGGAGTGGTGCTGGGTCGAATTGGAGAGGCACCGCCAGGCATGAATGATCAAATGGACCAGGCATGAAACTCATATATTGTTGATGCAATTGGACCAAGACTCAAATCATGCGTGGAAAAAAGATGCAAAAAGGGCTTCAAAAAGCTCACCGGACACTCATTTGTTGAAGTAAACGTCGCGACAAGGTCCTGAAACCTCAAACCACCTGCGAAAATAGCACATATTTAGATACGATACCCTTGAAACCCTTGCGCAGTTTCATTTCAAACAGCAATGTGGTGTCACATGATTTTCACCTTTGAAACATGTTCATGGCAGGTCTTTCATCTCTGCCTTTTTGAAACTGGACAGGTCGGTGGATGGCGTCCCCGAAGAGGACATGGTGTGGGCGAAGTAATTAGTTGGGAGTCCACCTGCTTGGACGTCTATGGAACAAAAACAAAGATCGAGTAGAACTCATCCCAAAAGGATTCAACCAAATAGACCAGCAGACTTCTACTTGGATACCTACTGCAGGGAGTGTTCTACTCATCCTCCCTTCGACTGTGATGTTGGCTTACTTTGCCAGCCAAATCTCCCAATTCGAAGATGCAGTGATGCGAACGAGACCGAGATGAACTGATCTGTAGGCTCTTTGGAAAAGAAATCAGTTTGACATATTCTGCATCGCTACTAGTAGCAAGGGCATCGCTACTAGCAGCTACTACCTCTAGCTACTACCTTAAGTTTCCCTAAAAATCTAGGAACCAAATCATTAGCGCGAGTTATTCCTGCATCCTAAGTAGTAGCTATTTAAACTACTAGCGACTCCCTCTATAGCTACTACCATCGCGGTCGACAAGGATCATCTTGGTCCTGGACTCCTGCGGATCCATCTGACCCATCACTCGCTGGGTACCTCCTCCAGCTCCAGCCAGGTGGCACAAAGCCTGACCTCACAGTGGCCGTTCGATCGTTGGGTTGGCTTTCGTTGCGAAGTGGGAAACGGATGGGTAGGTAGCGGGTTTTGCTTGATTCTGTGGCTCCCTCAAGTGTTTTTTTCTCATGGAACATATTTTGACCCTGAAGAGATAGAATTTGTTTGTGCTGGTCTGTCCACAGTCACATGAAGGAGCATGTATGAAGCATCACATGGCTTGCTGTTGGCACTCCACTCAGGTTGCCATCTTCCATGTCGGACTTCAGATTGTTGGCATTTCAACCATCAATAGAACTCTTTGAATTCAGAAAGCATGCCATGAACCAACTCAACTTTGAATTCATGCTCAAGGATTGAGATTTTATCCTGTCATTGTATTTTTTTCTTGAAAGACATCTTCTCTTTGCTTATTCTTGACAAGCGTGTACGAGCATCAACGATTCCAAAAAATCGACCCAACTCAACACCATCAAGTTCTTTATGTCACTCCTTGCAAAGGGTACCCCTATGCCCTATGCAACCTCAAGAACTCAATAGCAACCCTCCACTTCCGTGGAGCTAGCGTGTTTTCTCTTTTATTCTGATCTTCTTTATTCCATTCTTTAACTGATCAGCTGATTAATGAACCTAACTTTCTGAAATTAAGAAAATGACACACACCTTTCCAAGTCCCCAAAAATACGTACTCAAAGAGTCCTTTCAAATCCCTTTAAATGTCTTTTCTGTCTTCGGATTGCTTTCCAAAACGGTCTGAGACGTAACCCAGCATAATGACTTACACTCCACTTGCTCTTATGACGTGAAAAGCCAAACTCAAATAAGCCTGATAAAGACCTACAGGGGTGAAAGTTTACCGTTACAGAGTTACGTCATTGAGAAAATACCTTTTATATATAATGTAGAACTATAGAACCAATAAACACATGATGTTAACTACAGTATATATACATTAAACAAATATGCATGTTTGATTATGTTTGTATAAGCCTTTCATAAGATCCATTGAGTTCAAACCCACACGCTGGCACGACTTTTGAGATGACAGACTGCTCTTTTGACCCTCCGCTGTCAATGTCATTACAGGCTGGTAATGCTACACCAGGCAGCCATGCAATACAAACACGTATGCAATCCTGATTTTACCCAACAAACCTTTTAAAGCAAACGTACTGGGTCTGCAAAAACCAATGAAGCAAGGGCCCAATGGAGGGAACAATTGAGTGCACATGACTGAAACATCCTGAAACATTCTCTATGGAGAACAACGAGCGACTTCAACTGGGTTGCAACATTCTTTCACCGACATACTCATCCCCTCTGCCAACTGTCTGACGCCCAGCTGTGTCCCACAACCTCCTTGGCCAAATAGAGTGTTGTGCTTGTGAAGCCTCGGCCATCCAACACTTCAACCCTAGGAACAAGAAGCTATTAGGGGCTCCTGGCATCGCTACTAGGAGCAAGGACGCTACTAGGGGCTCCTGGCCTTACTACTAGGAGCAAGAAGCTATTAGGAACAAGAAGCACAACCCCAATCCGGAAGGTGCCCCGTCGGTGTATTCAATCTGTTTTTCAGATTCGCTTGCTCAAGCAAGGACTCGTGATCTCGATGACCAATTTCCTTTCCCCTGACCTTGATTGGGTTAAAAGCAAGCTGGTGACTTGTACATGCGTTCTTGTTAGCAAACCCAAACATGCATATTTGCTTGAGAAGCTGGTGCATATGGTGATTTCTCAGTGCTTGCTAGCTGTTGAAACAAAGGCAAACAGCAACATCCGACAGGAATTGAATCAAACGTCAGTTCTTTCTGTAGAGGGGCACTGCAGTGCAGGATTTCTTGTAGGACATTATCCCTTCAGCAGCGTGATACATCAACGGGTATGGTATGGCAGCTTAACCGAATAAGGGTTTTGTAACTACACAACTCTTAAAGCAATTTCTCAATTCCAAACTCTAAACAAAGCTAAACATCAACCTCCACTAGATTGTTTTTGACCACATGCAACACACACACGGCATTAGCAAAGCAGGTCACAAACCAGTGTGAAGAAGCACTTCGCATATCTGATATCTGTGAGTATTTCTCAAAATTAGGGGACCCCAACCAAACCCCAAGAACCAACGGGTGTTCAACTGCTTTGTTTGCGACCCAAGTTGTGGGGTGGCGGCCCCCGACATCACGGCAATCGCTCACAACTGCCAGCATCTCCAAGGCACCAGGTTGCTGTCGCATCAGCAAGCCCTGGTAGGACAGCAGGATGTCGCTTGGCTTAGCAAGGACGCTACTAGGGGCTCCTGGACTTACTACTAGGAGCAAAGGGCATCGCTACTAGGAGCAAGAACGCTACTAGGGGCTCCGGCCTTACTACTAGGAGCAAAGACGCTACTAGGAACAAAGGGCATCGCTACTAGGAGCAAGG